CATGATGGCATTTATATTGGGCTGAATGTTTGAAGTCATTATTGAGTTGAACTGTCATTTCTCAGAATTACCAAAATAATTCCAGTCGTAGGTCTAATCTAAACTGAACATTAAGGTGTTATTCAGATGCACAATCAATCGTGTAAGAAGATATCAAGTTATTCAAATGAACATACGGCAAAGAAACGAATTCAAAATGATTAAGTTGAAATGAATATTGTAAATGATGAAAGAATAAAAGCAGTTTATCTCGATACAGCTTTAAATAAGAACACGAAAAAAACACTATTAGACTAAGGTTGTCAGCAATGCAGTCAAAATCATAATTCTATGCGGAAGCATTTTGGTGAGCTAGAAACGTAAAAACGTAAGTTTTTTAAGCTTTAACCCACATATTTTCACAACAATTGTAAGTGAAAAACGTAATTCTATATAAAAATGTTTTGATAACTTATAAATGTAAGTTTTTAAATTTTAAAACACGATTTTAACTAAATTGGCTGTATACTTAACTAAATTGGCTGTATATTTTCCTCTGTTGACGCAGGAAACATAGATATGATGATCACTCTCACTTTCCACAATCGTCCAGTCCATTACCTACAGGAAACACCAACCAATAATAATACGAAGGAGATGGAAGAGTTGGACCATATTTCCTTCCCCCTGCCTTTTCTCTCACTTATTAATCTCCTTTCTTCCTTTCTTTCTTTCTTTGTCAATGTGTTAGCTTCTAAGTGTGGTTTCATGATTGAAATGGAAATACATAATCACCATTCCGTTGTTCCTCTTCCTTTTTCTTTCCCACTAAATCATTATCAAACCATAGGACTATAATTAAAAGACGTCTACCCACTCCATATATGAAGATTACAATCAACGTTATTGTTTCCACTCTTTATTTGTAGTTCTTACTTAAAATTAAATGTTTAATATTAGGTCGTAAGAATTCGAACCCAATACTTATAGATCATAACATGTTTCTATACTAAACGAAAGAAATACTGGTTAATTAAAATAACTCAAATATTCCGAAAGAGGTTTTTGAATGAATTTTATGTTATTGCCTTGATGCTATTTATTAAATTATTTGAATTATATTTATTAAATTATATTTAATTTTTAGGTACGGGGAGGTGGAAATTAGTGCTGGTAGTTGGGTTACGGTGCTAATTGTACAATAGTTAGCACCGTCCTAACCAAAGGAAAAACTACTACTAGTTTGAATTAGTAGTGATTTAGCTTAGATGTTGTATTGATTTTATAATAATCCGTAATGATTTTCGCTAGTTATCACGGTGCTAACCCTTATAGGGGTTAGCACCTAATCCCATCCCCTCAAACATACACAAACGAACAAATAGTCAAACAGTTGATTTAATTTCCTTTAGTAAGTAGTAACTCACTTTGTCTAGATCTGTTGTACTAGACTTAATTATCAATGGGAAATTATATGATTACATGTTTAATTGTTCTACTTTCTATTAAAAATTTAAAAACGACTTGTTTATTGGAATATCTTTTTTTCTCCTTCTTATATAATGGGATTTAGTGAATTTTTACCAAGAATTGTACTTCAAAAAACTAGACTATAATAATAAAAGAAACTAGTGAAGGGAAATTGTGAAAGTATATTTATGAAAAATAGTTCATAACATCATGTTTCATAGTTTATAACATGTTCATTTATATGATAGTAACTATCAACTTCAAAAATATCCTCCATTTAGAGTGTTTTTTTTTTTAGTACTGTCGGTGTGGCTGTGCCCTTCTGATGAGGTATATAAAGACTTGATGAAGAAAGGGAATGCTGCCTTACATTTACATATATAGTCACATTGTGCTATTTAGTTCATTACCCAAACAAGCCAAAAGATACAATAAATCACCAATTATTTTACTCACATTACAAAGTGGATTGTTTTGTAGAACAACTTGCTATTATCATTGGCCTCCGAGATTTCGATGAGTTTTTGGGTGTCTCCTAATTTTTATTACATACAATCACTCGTTGATTTTGCACGAGGTAATTAGCTAGACTCTCCAATGTATCGCTTTGATCACATTCAAAAAAATTATTTGCCTTCAACTTCAAGCTCTCAATCTCTTGGATTGTAATTTAAATTTTTATGTGATGGTTAGAACAAAAGGGATTAACGAATGTGGTCGCAAAGAGAGAACATAACAAAATAGTTTATATTCAACAAAAACGATGGAAATTCAGTGTGTTTGTAAGCCATGGAAGGCAAGAAGAATCCAAATTGAAGCACTAGGGTTTTCTTTGGTTGCATTGGAACACAGAGTTCCTCCCCCGCAAAAGGAAGTAACATCACCATCATGATTAAGACCAACCCAAAGACATTAATCCAGAAATGGCTTTATGCTGGCTGTTTTTGCTTTTCTTCTACTCCTGCTTCCACTATTTCCCACCCTTGCATAGACAAACTGCCAATTTTGTCCTTTATTGCTTCATATGAAAAAGAGTTATATGCATAATATAACACCTCTAAATATGGATGGTAATCGATTTTGCTATTAACGGTATAATCGGCTACCAAACCGGTAATAAACGGTATTGATATTTAGTGATCAAATACACTTTTTTCAAATATGTCCCTTTACACATAAAATTTGTCTTTATGCTATTAAACAATCCTCAAACCTAGGGATGGCAATGAGGCGGGTTTGCTTAAACCATCCCCATACCCATTTTCAAATACCCAAACCCATACACGCCCCATTCCCATGCGGGGAATGTTTTGCAATCCCATCCCCAAACCCGTTGGTTTCAGGTACCCATGGGTAATACCCATACTCGTAATCCAACATTATTATACCTAAAACTTACAAGAAAAGTTCTAATTATAACTCTAAACGAACATATTATATCATGAAGTCAACAAAACACAGTCATTTTTTTAATATGGTTCAAAGATTATGATCCTAAAATATCCATTAATACATAATATAGAGTATAATATTTTTCAAATTATTATGTTATAACTATGATACATCTACTAAATAATAATTAACTAACATAATCTTGTTGACAAGGGGGAAAGTGAAATGAGAATTGAGAGAAATGAATTAGATTTTGATTAAGGTGGTCACTCAATTGCATTTCACCTATTTATTTTCTCAAGTTATCCTCATCATCATTGATAGATTATTGTTGGGGATGTGGCTCGGATGCAACCCAGGTCGACGTCGTTTTATCTAGCCCAAAACCAGCGCCGTTTCAGTCCTGATCAAGCCGGCGTCGTTCTGCCCTGCCTAAGACAGGAAGTGAAGATTGCATAGATGGCGCCGCAGTCTACGAAGGAGAGGTCATGTCGTGAGTCAGGTCCTAGGAATAATTATGGTCTAAAAGCATGGCCTAAGACCCTGACACACGTTGTAGTCATGTCGCATTAAATACCCACTACCATAATGTACTATAAAAGGGGCATTTACTACGGTAGGTAGGGGATCGGTTTTTGGATTCTCTCACTAATAAACACTCACTTCTCTCTCTAACTAATTTCCTATGTATTCTTCCCCTTCTACTGAGAATCCTCATCAGAAACAAGTTACCACAACTGATCGTTTGCTCTACCCCCCACATCTCACGCGAGTATAACTCCTACACTCAGTTAGACTCAAACAATTATAATTTAATGCACATTTTTTTTTATATATGAAGAAATTATCTTGGTGGGGCGGGTATGGGAATGGGTATGGGGCGGGGGAGGCTAAATCCATACCCGCCCCATACCCATCAAACTTTTTGCGGGTTATACGCATACGCGCCCCATACCCGGTCAAAGCGGGGCGTTGACTGGGTCGGGAGCGGTCGGATACCCGCGACCATGGGTTTGATTGCCATCCCTACTCAAACCTACACCTCAGTTAGGAACTTAGGATTTCCATCTTAAATTCATCAAATTCAATCCAACCATAGTCTGCCCAGAAAAATGAAAGAGTAAGGGGTCGTTTGGAAGTTGCAATAGTTTTGTTGAGATTGTTATTATGCATGTATTGTTTACAATGCATCGTTTTTTTTTGTTTTTTTAGTGGAAACAATACATGGATTGTTTCTGTGATGTGACAGAAACTATCACTCATTTTGAGTGATTGTTATATCTCCACTTTTAGTTGTGATTGTTGAGATAGTTGAGTTGAGATTGTTTTGTCTCAGCTTTTAGCTGATGCGACATACACAATCACACATACCAAACGTTGTATTCTACAATGCATCAAATTCGACAATACATGTATAATGTTATATATGCATTCTCAACAATACATCTATTTAACAATCGCAACTTTCAAACGACCCCTAAGACACATTTTTACCCTCCCCTTGTTCTAACTAGGTATGAGAAACAATCTGGTCCCATCAAACCATATTGGATTGACGAGGTAAATCGAATGGATTTTAGTCAAACATGTAACCGAAGACTGGATTGGGTCGCAACACAATTTTTGAGTACGTACTTACAAAGATTGTAAGCCATCAAATCGGACATTGGGTACATTCTGATAATCGAATAAATACGATAATCATTTTAAAAATAAAATATTATCACGTTCGATTACAAACGCCTAACATCTAATCTAACAACGTCCAATGTTTATGAGCACATACTCACAAAAAACTGTAACCACCATAACCGAATTGGAGTAGATCAAACACAATTTTTCTTATGGCGATAAGAATACATCATCAAATCCTTTTGTTATGAGTTTGCCTATTTTGTCACTTTGCTTGCTCATTCTCACAACGATATTTGGCGGGAGGGTGGGCCCCATTTCACAATCAAAATCTCGTCTTCCTCAAGTCTCTTTCTCATAAATCTTCCTCACCCAACTAACTCTCCTTCTCCTTCCTTCTTCTTCCTCTGTAAATACATTTCCTCGTCACTCTTTCTTCTCCTGAAAGTAACGGCAAGTTCACAGAAACCCCCAACGGAATTTCTCAACACACAACAGGAAAAGGACAGAGTCTCTCTGTTTCTCCAATGAAGAGAGATCCCACTTTCACCTTTCTCTTCCTCTTGTTCTACTTCCTCAACCATTCCACCGGCGGCCTCTCCCTTTCCCCGGACGGACTCTCCCTCCTCTCCCTCAAATCCGCCGTCGACGATTCGCCGGGGGCATTCTCCGACTGGAACTCCGACGACTCCAACCCCTGCCGCTGGTCCGGCGTTTCATGCATGAATGTCACCGGATCGCCGGACCCACGAGTCGTCGGCATCTCCCTCTCCGGCAAGAACCTCCGCGGCTATATCCCGTCGGAGCTCGGCAACCTCATCTACCTCCGCCGCCTCAACCTCCACAGCAACGCGTTCTCCGGCTCCATCCCGGCGCAGCTCTTCAATGCCACCGCCCTCCACGGCCTGTTCCTCTACGGGAACAACCTCACCGGCGCCCTGCCGACGTCCATCTGCAACGCCCCCCGTCTCCAGAACCTCGACCTCTCCAACAACTCCATCTCCGGGTCCCTCCCCGACGAGTTCAAAAACTGCCGTCAGCTCCAGCGGCTCATCCTCGCCGACAACGAACTCTCCGGCGAGATCCCCGCCGGGATTTGGGCGGAATTCGACAACCTAATCCAGCTCGACCTCTCTTCGAACAAATTCTCCGGCCAGATCCCTAACGATTTGGGGGAATTGAAATCCCTCTCCAACACTCTCAACCTCTCGTTCAATTCCCTCTCCGGCCGAATCCCTAAATCGCTGGGTAATCTCCCCGTGACGGTGAGCTTCGATTTGCGGAGCAACAATCTCAGCGGCGAGATCCCTCAAACGGGGTCGTTTTCAAATCAGGGTCCCACCGCCTTCCTCAACAATCCCCAATTGTGCGGATTCCCCCTCCAAAAGCCCTGCAGCAGCGATTCCCCGGGAAATTCAGGGGAAGCAGAAGGCCAGAGCGAAACGACGCCGTCCGGTTCGGGCTTGAAAAAGGGGGGATTGAGCTCCGGCGTTATAATTCTCATCTCACTAGCCGACGCCGCCGGAGTAGCATTCGTCGGTCTCGTAATCGTCTACCTCTATTGGAAAAAGAAGGACGAATCCGGCGGGTGCAGTTGTACAGGAAAGGGGAAATTCGGCGGTGGCGGGGGAGGAGGAGGCGGGAAATTCATACGAATCTCGATCTGTCCCGCGTTCGGCTGCTGCGTCCGCGGCCGTGATTCGGCGGCGGAGGATGCGGCGGCGGAGGGGGAAGGAGGAGGCGGAGGAGGAGGAGGAGGGGAATCGGGAGAAGGGGAGCTGGTGTCGATGGACAAAGGGTTTAGTTTCGAGCTGGACGAGCTGCTGAGGGCGTCGGCGTATGTATTGGGGAAGAGCGGGTTGGGGATTGTGTACAAAGTGGTGCTCGGAAATGGGATTCCGGTGGCGGTGCGGCGGCTCGGGGAAGGCGGGGAGCAGAGGTATAAAGAGTTCGTGGCGGAGGTTATGGCGATTGGGAAGGTGAAGCATCCCAATGTGGTGAGGTTGAGGGCTTACTATTGGGCTCCTGATGAGAAGCTTCTGATCAGTGATTTCGTCTCCAACGGCAATTTGGCTACTGCGCTTAGAGGTAAGCTTTAATTTTGTTTTTTCGAGTTGTTCGTTCTTTCATTCCTTGGCAGTTTGTTTATGCTTTCTCTTTACTGAAATGGCCTTTGTGTTTCCATTTTGATGATCGAGTTTGGTAGGCTTAAGAGCAGAATGGATTGTTGGTAAGAAGTTTGATGTCAAATGGTTAGTTAAGGTGGAAGATTTCTAAGAATAATGGCAAAAGATCTTAAACTTTCGACAGCCTAGTTAACGTGGAAAGGTTTATCGTTGTCTCATTTATATGTTAGGTGTAGGGCTGGTTATTTGGTCCGGGTTTTTTGGTTTTATCCGAAACTGGACCGTATAACTCGGACCGGGATCGGATAGTAAACAATCCAATCCAATATTTAGGCTTAGATTTGAGGTAAAAAATCGTGCGGGACCGGATCAAAAACTAGATAAAGACCAGATAAGACAGCTCAACACCCAAAACTTAAGGGTAATTTGCATAAACTGTCACAAACCTTTGCACTTAGTACAAAACTTAACCAACTCCTCACCCTTTCAGGCCCTAGGCCACTCAAATTCCCACAAGCTCAATATAAAATCAAGACCGAATTGGGACCGGACCGGATCAAGACCGGACTGTATCCAATCCAATCTTTGGTCCTTATATTTTCAAAAAGACCGGACTGGACCGGATCAATTTGGGCCAATTTAACCGGACCGGACCGTATAGCCAACCCTAGTAAGGTGGTAGGCGTTATGCAACTCTTTGTTCCGTACGGGATCTTATCATATCATTATCAAATCGAAGTTTGGATCGGACCAAACCAGATCGAATATACTGATGGTTCGATATTTGGTTTTAAAATGTCTTTCACTATTAGATCGTAGTTCTCATAAGTTTGATCAGGTTTGGGCTATTGCACATCCCCAATTAGCGGTGATATAGAGTTAGGCATATGCATTGATTCGATGCACATCAAATAAAAACAAACGCTCATATCTATATATGAACATGCTCTTAGAATTTCGTATACATAATTTATTTTTATTAAAAAATGTCATTTTTTCCTTACTTTGATTTATTTTTTGAAGACAAATATATGAATCGAAATCAAAATCAAATTCAGACCAAATTAAAATGAATGGCTGATAACCCGAGTTGGACCGTTGTCTAGTGACACATCTATTTCTATTGTTACATGTTAAATTAATTTTGTTAAAATATCCACAATACATCCTTTATAGTGTTTCGCAGTCGTGGATAGACGCGATAACGTTCTATTCACCTTAATTTAATACAATGCTACATCATCCGTCCAACGATTCCATGGACATATAGGAACATATGACCTACAAACACCATAGCCACATTGGGTTGACCTTGCTTGTACATTAATCCAAGTGGAAGAAGAAACAGGAAAACAAGGGCAGACAAAACATACCCCAACCCAATCCTTCCTTTTGAGTAACGAGTCTTGGTGTGTAAGTGAAGGAAAAATAGGTGGAAACTTAAAAAGTTAAAGTTGTTTGTATATGTTGGTGCATTGAGGGCTCAATTGAATGCTGCCAAATAACCCTCTAGTTAGTTGAGACGAGAGAGAAAGTAGGGGGAATATGTAGCCTTTTCCTCTTGCCTTGAAGTTGAGTAATAGCCATAGGTGAACTTCTAGCAGGAGCATAGATGGGATGAAAAGATGAATTGGGTGGGATGAATGGATGATTGTAGTTAATGGAGATGCATGGTGCTCTTCTCCTCCATCATGGATTCTCAGACATTATTGAACCCAAAGTGGCCTACCACCAATCCACCATACCAGCCTTATGACTTCAACTGATGAGTCAATTCTTTGCTCCTTCTGGTCCATGCAACGTGCAAGGGGGGAAAACCCTTTTCTCCTCCCCCTTTGCAACACTGTCTGTTGCTTGAATGAATGGAATGAGATGAAATTAATGGCTGGCCTGGTTCCAGAACATGGGAAGCTGGGCTTTCTCTTTTCTCTGTACCCAGCCACACCTCATAGTTTTGTCCCCCCACCCCTTAGATGGAAAGGTCAGAGTGAATTTGAGAATTTAGATGGATGGATGAAAAGAAAAGATGCATGTTATCTCAAGCTTGATGATTAAGCTGGATATTGGGTCAGGAATTTGCATTCTCGCTTCCCTCTTGTCCCCACATTTCACCTACTTTCGGTTGGCATTCATTGCCCATTACTCTCCTTGTCCATCACAGACCGTGCAACTCTCCGTTTTTTTGCCTCTCAATGCTTGATTGATTCATCCATGGGGGATTCAGATCTGTGGAGCTTTGGGATCTGAAAGCTTAGCCAGCATACTAAGTCATCTTCCGTCATGTTTCATGACTTTTGTCTTGACCTTATTTAGCCATTCAAAAGTTGGCTTTCTCTTTGGAAAGTTGAAACCCTGAAAATGGGTGTCTCTCTTTTAGCTTGTTTTGCCATAAAGCACTCATCTTTTTTGCACACAAAGTTTTCCCTTCTTTCTACAGAGCCTCTCTGCTAAAACTGGGACACATTGTGTTGTGTGTGTGCGCGCCTTTAGCAGAACGAGAATGATAAATTCAATACTGTTTCTGATGAATGGTCCATCCACCATTCACTAATATCAATGCAATTGTATTTCACACTCACACATGTTTTTTCTTCTACAGAAAATGACATGTTTCTGTTCTGATCTCATTAATGACAATGACAATCTGCATCATCCCATATACCTATCTGCTTCTTGAACTTCGCAAATAGTCAGTAAATTTACTTGTAATCATGCATTGATTTCCTGAAACCTTGTCACATAACTACGTTTTTGCAGCAATTAATGATGTTTCAGCTGAATTTAACAATGTATGTTGGTTCCAGGAAAGAACGGGCAGCCGCCATCAAGCAGCACACTCTCATGGTCGACTCGCCTCCGAATCGCCAAAGGAACAGCCAGAGGCCTAGCCTACCTCCACGAATGCAGCCCGCGAAAATTCGTCCACGGCGACATCAAGCCCACCAACATCCTCCTCGACGCCGAATTCCGCCCCCACATCTCCGACTTCGGCCTCAGCCGCCTCGTCACCATCACGGGCAACAACAACAACAACAACAACCCATCCTCTTCCTCCTCCGGCTTCATGGGCGGGGCCCTGCCTTACCTCAAATCGGCCCAGACCGAGCGGCCCAACAACTACCGGGCCCCCGAGGCCCGCATCCCGGGTAACAAGCCGGCCCAGAAGTGGGATGTCTACTCGTTCGGCGTCGTCCTGCTCGAGCTCCTCACGGGGAAATCCCCCGACCTTTCCCCGACCAGCTCGAGCGCCGTCGAGGTTCCCGATCTCGTCAGGTGGGTGAGGAAAGGGTTTGAGGAAGAGAACCCTTTGTCGGAGATGGTGGATCCGACGCTGTTGCAGGAGGTTCAAGCGAAGAAGGAGGTTCTGGCGGTTTTCCATGTCGCTCTGGGTTGTGTGGAGGTGGATCCTGAGGTTCGTCCGAGGATGAAGAATGTGTCGGAGAATCTTGATAGGATCGGAACGTAGAGAGGATCTTATTGAGGATTCGGGATCTTCTGAGTTCTGATGATAGAATGGGGAATGAAGGGAGAGTTGGTGAAGAGTATACAGAGATTTCATTTCCCCCTTTGCTTGTATTTTCGTTTCCTTCCTTTAGTTTATTTGGTGATTGAAAAGAAAGCATTTTGGGTAGTTGCTCATTTGTAATTTAAGCTCTCGATCCCTTCTCCATTTGAAGGATCTTCTTAGTACTACTGGTAATAAAAGTTTGAATACTATTATAGTATTATTTCAGTTCTAGCAAATCGAGATTACGCACATTGAGCTAGGGTCGATAATGGGCGGGTTGGGCGTGTTTTCGTTTTAAATTGACCCACTCGTTTACTAGCGAGTTGGAATAATTGTGACCCGTAATCTACCCGCATTCTTCTGCGGGTCGGGTTGGGTGGGTGGCGGATGGGTGCGGTTGGATCATGGGGTTAACCCACAAAAACAATTTTCCAACTAGCCATTAAGGAAGTTGACCAACATTTATAATAAGTTTATAATAAATTAGTAACTTTGTATCAATTTAAACACTTCTCCCTTTGTCTCATTCTCAAGTGAATACATGTAGTATTTGCATAAATTTTTTTACTACTCTATCAACCAATTGTTCAGAGAAAACTTATGCATTTTGTGATTTTGATACAGTTAATAATTTATAGTTTTCATCCTAATATTTAATGGATATTAACAATAATTTGCATTCCAATATCCAATGGATATTACACAACACAATAACCAAAATTAGTAGTCAAAACTATACTTTCTTTTCCTGCTTTAGAAGTATATGGTCAGACTGTAGTACAGTTTGGAACTATGATGAATATTTGATACTATAAGAAGCAAAAAAAAATCATGTGAAAATAGGATGCGCGTCATTCGGGTGACCCGCAACCCACCCACCCACAAAAGTGCGGGTGAGAGATTTATCAATCCGCAATCCACCCACATCAATAACTCACTACTTGCGGGTTGGGTTATTTGCGGATGAATCGATATCAATTCGCGGATTAACCACCCACGTGCCCACCCCTACATTGAGCTACTCGATTATTAATGACCACCAGTAGTTGACGTTCAATTCATGATGAGGAATTCACCAGGCTGACCCATTGTAACCATATCTATTTTGCTTATGCGTTGAGGGCCTATTGAGCATTGACTTTTACCTAAGGCGACGCATGAAAGAAATTTGTACCCTCTATAGGTGGCACAAGGAGCTCCGATGACATCACACCTGTTTTGCTGACAATTGTACTTTCTTCATCACTCATCATGGCAAATAAGGAGAAAACTTCGCATTTGAAGTACATCCTCACCGCCTATGAAAAGTAGCCGGGGGCAACAAGCAGTGGCGAGAGAGATGTTGAGGAGAGGGTTCCTAGGATCCCACTTGGCAAAAATAAAAAGGGCAACAAATCCTTTAGATACATAGAGTTAGTATGATCCATCAAGTTTAGGATCTCATACTCTTGTCAATGTTTACTTAGCTAAGGATCCAATCAACTCCAAATCTGACTACGACAATGACAACAGGTGAGCTTTGGGAAGTCCAAACTCTCTTTTAGCACAAACAATACTCCTAACTAGGCGATGACTGTGAAGGGGATACTTGTCATGCCAATTGTGACGACTGACGAAGCATGACAAATGCTTGGGTTTGGAGACAAGTGTGGGAAGATCAAAGAAGCATTTTCTGGGCTCATAAAATTCTAGAGAATAGTATGTAAACTTTAATAAAAGTTTACTTAATATAAAAATTAAATGAGACAAGATGAGTAAAAATGCGAGTTCAATGTTACAGGTGTCCTAATTTAACTTAAATAATACACATTCACCTATCAATCAGCTTAAGTTGCACAACTGCTATCGTTACACTTTTGGCGAATGACACATCGACATAGTACGAGAGAGATCCATGGTTCATACGAAATAATCACATCCCAAATTACAAGACGCGTTTTGCGGTGATATGGAGAAGTTATTGCAAGAATTCTGAAGTTAAACGTGCTAAACGCATAGCATTGCAAGGATGAGTTACCTCTTGAGAAATCACCACACAAAAGCAAAATCATGCCGCTGGAAAGACCCTAAGCAGACATATTTTGGTCTAAAAGAAGGTTGGGATGTTACAAGTGGTATCAAACTCTATGTGTCCCTCTTGAACGATGCGAGACGAACCCCAACAAGAATGTTAAGCCCCAAAAGGGAGGGTGTAATGTAACTTTTTAGAAAAATCTCATATCGACAAAGCACGGAAGAGATTCATGATTCATAAGAAACAATCCAACATTAACTGACATTTCACATTTTGGATGAAATGGATAAGTTCTTGTAAGAACATTGATGTGAAACGTGCTCAATTATAAACAATGCAAGGTTGAGTGACCTCTCAAAAAGTTATCATGATACATACAAAAACAAAATTGTGTAGGAATAGGTCCAAAACGAATAATATTTTTGTTTAAGAAAAGTGGCCAATTTACATAAATATTGTGATTTTATTTAATTTTACCACAAATATAGCGTTTTAAAAACAATTTATAAGGATATTGTGTTTGGAAGGCAGGGACGCGACGAATTCGCTCAAGCTAAATATCTTACATATACTAATGCGAGTCCGCGTAATCTAAGTAAAAGCTAAACTCTCACTCGCACGGGTCCGCATAAGAGATTTACCCACTCTCATTTGTGCGTACACGCGCTAGCTACTTTTTTCGGTTTCCTCCCTCTCTCCCACAAGATATGTGGCATTTTCTTATTCGCGCGACGAGCTGCGGCAGAGTGCGATGAGCGGCGAAGGACAAGCAGCGGAGGAGGACACGATGGCTGACTGCCTGACTCCGACCACTACTCTGATGAAGAGGAAGTCGTAACCGGAGGAGGAAGAGGCCATGGGAAAGGGAGAGCTGGGCGGCAAGCTCGCGGCGGCGACTGACACCGATGTAAGTCAATTGGCTCACCCGCGGCGGCAGCCGAAATCTCACCGACGGTCAGTTTTTATTTTGTTATTTCTTTAGAAAATTAATTTTTTTGTTTGTTTTTGAGCTACTAGGATTATGGATACTTATTCCATGAGGTGACCAGTTGTGACAATTAATCCATCTCCGATCGTTTCGGAACTTCTTTGGGCACATGGTCAACATCGTGCAGGCTCAATTTGGGCAAATGAGGTAAGTCTTTCATAACGATTTTTCTTTAAAATTCATTAGCTAGTTAGATTAGATGTTTATATTAGATTTTACTAGGTGAACTGAAATTAGAATTAAGTATGAAATTTACTTAAATATAAATTTTGTGCAACATGCTCAATGTAAGGTTGAGTGATCTCTCCAAAAGTCATCATGATACATAAAAAAAATCATGTAGGAATAGGTCCAAAACAAATAATATTTTGGTTTGAAAAAAGGTGCGGCTTGCATTGTTAGTTGCTATCGTTATTTTATGGCTAAATTACACCTTTGGTCACTCGAATTATATAAATATTTCACATTTGCCATCTGAATTACTTTTCTTTCTTATTCACCACTAACTTTATGAATCGTTTCATCGTTAGTCACCGACCATCAGTCTCCGTCAGAATCTGTTAACTCAGTCACCGACACCATTAGAGAGCGCCTATTGTAAGCTTCTTCCTTCTCCGACTTAAAACTCCCACTGAAGCTTCTAGGTTTCGCCAAGACATATTGAGAATGTAGGAATTTATTGATTTCAAGCTCCGGGTATCACCGACGAAGAAGAGAGAGGAAGGGATCTCTGGGTTGGGCTATTTCCGGTAGAGTGGAGCGGATATCTGGGCTAGGCAATTTTTGGCGAACTGGTTTCTTCTCTCTGTAACGTTATCGTCGATGAAGGTGGAGACGGCGGCGTCGAGATCCAATTGGTGGAGCCACCATTGACTTACCATACAAGTTCACCGGTGCGACTTTGTCTTCTTCCTTGTAGAAGGGTTTCACCCCTGCATAAATGAAAAATCCAAAACAAAATGTTAACACTTCACCCCAAAATAAAATAGAAACCGGAGATCGAATTCGCCAGTGTTGGTAAATGTCAATTTTTATTTTCGAGCCCACAATCAACCAATTAAACCAACAAATGAATCCAATATTTTTATGGTCTCCGCAAATGGCCGAATCGATGAGAATCAGTTTCCAATCTGTTGTCGATTCCCAGATCGACGGGGAAAGCGAGGCATTGCGGAACATCGGCGGGAAGAAGCCGGTGAGGGCTCGGAGTGGATGGCTTTCTCGGCCTTGGCGGAACAGCTCGTGAAACGTGAGGGAGATGATGAGATGTTAGTTAATAATTTTTTTAATTTTTTAATTGACATGTCATTAGGTCTAAATTGTCCAGTCAGCAATTCCGTGCGCCACGTCATTAAAAAATTAACGGAGTTTGACGATGACTGACGACCGGTGACTAACGGTAAAACGATTCGTAAAGTTAGTGATGTATAAGAAAGAAAAGTAATTCGGATGACAAATGTAAAAAATTATGTAATTTGAGTGATCAAACGTGTAATTTAGCCGTTATTTAAAAAAAATCGTGATGGGCGCAAATAAGCCCATTAAGCCGGTGACAAGGCAATAAGAAAGAACCAAAAGCCCAAAGGTTCAGGGATTTTTCCAATAATAGCACCTTTTAAAAAAATTTACAAAACTAGCACCCAGCCGAAAAAATTTACACTAATAGCACCATTTTTAGTAGACCGCACCTCGAAGGTAAGTAAACCGCACCCTCCAGATGCGTTTTATGTATAAACCGCACCTTGGAGGTGCGTTTTGCGCCACATCAGACTGGGAACCGCACCTCCAAGGTGCGGTCTGTGTTTGGTGGGCAGAACGCACCTTGGAGGTGGCGATCTAGCTGGCAGAACGCACGCCACGTCATCGATCCTTGCCACGGATCGAAGACCGCAGCGCCAGGGAGCGGTCAACCCTCGGGGAGCGTAAACTGCGCCGGGAAGGTGCTCCCATTACACCCAGCTATCTTGCCTTTTCTCAAAAGGGCATGGTTGGACCCGATAGGCATTTTAACGGCATCAAAGTCAATCGCCAACTCATCACCGCTTTAGTTGAGAGATGGAGAAAAGAGACCCATTGTTTCAACTTTAGAGAAGGAGAGGCCACCATCACGCTAAAAGATGTCGCCATCCCAACCCATCTGCCCATCGATGGCAAACCGGTGTGCGCGAGTGATCATCCCCCCGAGGATCGTGATGGTATGCCCGGTTGGGTTCATTTATTTCTTGCAGATCGTCTTCGATCCATGCCCGGAGAATATCGTTCATTGGCATCTCCAGCAATTCCCCGGTCATATCGGGCAATGGTGCACGAGGGCCCCTCTAATTTGTTTTGGGACCGTGGAGTGGCACTTGCCGGATCAATGCCTCCGTCAGTTTGGTCGGGAGCAGTGCATTCCGTTGGAGGTCCTCGATAGTCAAAAGGCCTTTCATGGCCGAGATGGTCGGCAAGGTACTCACGATTGGCCCACGAAGTTGACGAAATTCATCACGATGTGGGGACAACCGACAAATGCAGGATATTGTCACTCCAACTCAAGTGGGTCGAATGGGGTATCATGACCCATACTTGGATCGATATCGGCAATCATCGGTTCGTTACATGACTCCGGAGGGTGCGGCCGATGGTGCATTAGTAAGTATATTCCGATCTAAACAATTAAATTTATTACTTGGTTCCTAAATTTTTTTCTAATTTTTTTTTTGTGGTTTAGGCTGAAGGGATCGAGCGGATCAAAGATATGACCACCGGGAGAGTTGAGCTGGACAATGAAGATGTGAGCTTCATCAGGAGGATGGCAAACAGTCTGCTTGGCTGTATCAAAGCTCAGGGTCGGGATCATAATAGATATCCGCCCATGCCCGCACCCCCGCCACCTCCGGTACAAGTTGATGTCCCCGATCCCCCACCACCATACGAGAGAAAGAAGAGCAAGAGGGTTTGGGAAAGGCCCAACGTGCCCGACGTAACGCCATATCAAGCGTGGAAAGTGCCGCCCCCATTGGTTGTGACACATGGTGCTGGCCTGAGTTCCTCCCAAGCTCCCCGCCCGAGTTTCCCCCAAGGTGCCAGCCCGAGTTCCTCCCAAGCTCCCCGCCCGAGTTCCGCCCAAGATCCCCGCCCGAGTTCATCCCAAGAGCACCGCCCCTCCTACCACAACGATCCCCACCCAAGCTCATACTATGATCCTCGCTCGACCTACCATCAATCCCCTCCGAGTATCCATCAATCCCCATATGATCCCAACCCGATCTCATATAACGATCCCCGCCAACCATCATACGATTCCCGCGCGGTCTACCCCCATCTCCCCGCCAAACATACTACGATTCCCGCCCGGTCTACCCCGAAGACCCCCCTACATCATCGGGTACTTGGCATGATGGTTCCTCCACGACGACGCCCCACGAATTCAACCCATTGACTCGCCCTCATCAGTCGTGGCCTCCTACTCCTCACCGTATGGGCGCGAATGTCCCCCGCTCGACTCCGGAAGCGCCGCCTCCCCGCCGACACAGCACCGACGAGCGCCACACCACCTCGGCCATTCGAAACTTGCCACCGCAACCACCTGTTGTTACTCCCGTCGGCCGTCGTACAAGGCGCAAGAAAACCGTCGGTTCCGGTGAAGCTCGTGGACTTCCCTGAGATGTATTTTTAGTTGAATTTTAATTATATGTACTTGAAACTATTCCCCTTATCTTAGTTTCTTTAATTGAGTGTTGTTTCAATTTGTTTTTATTTCTATGTACTTGGAACTATTCCTCTTATCTTGATATCATCCCAATTTGTTTATATTTCGTCAGATATTGATTCCTTCTTTTCTCGATCGCGCGAGATACGCCTTTCTATATTTATATATTTTGAAGTTCTCTAACTATGGCGTCGGAAAATAATTGACACACAAACCGCACTGGGGGGTGCAGTTTGTGTGGCAAAACTGCACCTTGGGGATGCGTTTTTGTTTTGGAGAAACAAACCGCATCTCCAAGGTGCGGTTTTGCTAGGTCAGCCCAAAACCGCACCTCGGCCAAGCGGTTTTTGTAGGTCAGACCTGAAACCGCTTGGCCAAGATCCCCAAAAAAGGTGCGATCCATAAAAAAGGTGCTATTTTTGTAATTTTTTTTAAGGTGCTATTTCTGGAAAAACTACCAAAAGTTAAATAGGGAAAAAGAAAATACGTGGCAATCCAATACTTTTTGCCGCCGGATGAGTTACTAACTTACTCCTCTCTTCTATTTTTCTTCCCGGCGACTACGGGAAATCTAACTTGGACTCTAATCAAGTGAGGAGAAAGGTGGAAAAAGAAGTATCGCCGCCGCGCTACCTCCTCGCTCCGCCACCTGTGCCGCCGGAGTAAAAGAGTTTGGAGTTTCCGCTTCGGTAAGCCCACTCGAATTTCTCTCCGTCTATATTCCCTCAACTGGTGCTCTCAAATTTTATCTGCGCCGCACGAAAACCTAGCCTCCTTCGCTCCCGATCCAAGTTTCCGCCAATCGCTCATTGATCTGGTAGCGATACTGAGAGCTTGAAGCTCGACGGAAATTTCAGTTTCTCAGTTCTGGCGGATTCTCAATTGAGCTTTGTTTTCTTTTTTTTACTGCAGATTTGAATCTTGCGCATCCGTCAGCTGCAGCAGAACAAAGCTATGGTATAACAAATTTTGCATCTAAGGGTTCTTCCGTCCATTCGATTTCTATTTTCAATTTGTCTCCATTGATCTCTTTTCGATACGTTTCCTTTCGCAGTCGGCGCTCTTCAATTTCCATTCGTTTCTCACGGTTGTGCTGTTGGTGATTTGTACTTGTACTTACGTGAAGTTGCACTTCCCAGCCATACTTGAACACAAAACAGGGTTCGTGCTTGTTGTTTCCATATACATTCTGTGATTGACTATGCAAAAGCCTTAATCAAGGGGTTGATCACTGTGTTTTGTGGCGAATTACAGGTTTCGTGGTTTCTTCTGGAAGGCAGCCAGAATAGGTCAGTCTTGAAATGCCTGGTCATTTTGGTGTCCTTTTCTTCTTTGTTCGTTTTTGCAATATGTTTTCGGCCAAACCTTGCTTGTACTTACTTACTAGTTACTTCATCAGTTGAGTATAGAACATTTGAGTGATATGGGTTGATTATCCACGCATGATGCTTTAGCAGTTGTGTGGAGTGAAGGTTCTGTAGGAATTAGACTGTATGTGAGTTGCTTTGGATTACTCAGTTCAGGAAATGATACAGTGTAGCTGTTAATGTTATGCTTTAAACAAACAAGCTTAAACTTTAGGATTTTAATCATCTTAATGATCCTTGCTGACTATATTCTCTTTGGGAGCTTGGCCTAACAGGAAAACTTCCATCTGGTTTGTTTTTATTGCTGAACACTTGCATGTGATTTTCCAATCCTATTGAGCCAGGTTTCTTAATATCGGCATATGCTCTTAAATTTGGTTGCCTCACCTGTAAATGATTGACCATCTTAAGCATCATATATACTGTACTGCTGATTTAAGGAACTGTTGTAGCGTAGAAGGACTTGATGTGCTGGAACATGTTGTTCTACTTGCTGAGTTACAGTTCGATTTCGGGACTTGACTCTTCCCTTTATGGTTGCTAAACTAGGTGAACGTCTGAGTCCATGGATGGGAGCAGGATGCTTTGCGATGGGTGTTTCAATCATATTCTTCTGAGCTATGAAGTTTGGGACTTTGTATTTGGAAGTACGCCAATCATGCATTCTGAGTAATTTCCTACTTCTACTGCTTGATTACCACTTACAGTTACAGATGTATCCATACATTGTTTAGTAATGTGTTACAGGATAGAAAATACTGTTTTCCATTCATGTGATCTCTAGATTAGATGTTAAAGCTTCTTTTGGTGTTAGAGACTTTCTTTTTTGCTGTTCCTATGACTTAGTTTGCTCTTAAAGAACCGAATTAAAAAATATGACATTTAGGCAGTTTGTCGATTGAGGTGAAAGTCATGTCTTTGTTTCCCCCATCCTGCTCCCTGCAGAAACTAAGCAGATAAGGCAGGCTTCTTTTGTTAAACTAAGGTAGAAATCAGAGAGGAATGATCATTTGATTTTTCGAGGTGATTTATTTTATTGTTCCTTGTAAGCCACTGTATTCATGTTTCATGCACATGAGATCTCATATTTGTTGCGAACCATTATCTTAATACATTAAGAATAACACATAGGTATCAGAAGCATCGGAAAACATAAGTAGGCACTCCGATTCTCTTTTAATCTACTATCAGAGTATCCTATCACATACATTATTAGTTGCCTCCCCTTGTATGTGTGGCTCAAGTGGAGTTTCTTACTGAAGAAGGATGGAGTTCAGGTTGAAATTAGGACCCCAGAAGTCTTGTTTGTTTAGCCACCAGGGATACAACTCACGGCGTAAACCGTGACCTTGTGCTTGAATCTCCTCAGAACCAGAACCCTAGCTTCTCCCCACTGAAACACCGATAGTATCATCTTCTTCATAGGTCTCTTCTCGTCGTTCTTGTTGGCAGCCATGCCGAAGTCATCATCGCTTTTATCGTCCGCTTCCCAGTGAAGCGGATAGCTCCTCAGAAACACCCTCCTGTAGCTGTAGTCCTCATCCCGGAAGCTCTTGGTCCTCACCGTAGCTTCCTGCATAGCTTTGGTGCTTTCTATGTTTGGGTAAGGTGATGGTTGATGAATCATTTTGAGAATTGGGTGGGTTTTTATCTAGGGCTTCTTGGGCAGAGAGGAAGAGACAGTGGCAAAGAGATGACAGCTACTGTCATAAGTCAAAATGTCCATATCATTGAAGGACATTACTAAGTAGGGAAATAGGTGTTTTCTCTTACATTCCCTAGAACTAATCGCAGTAGGTTTGTTATATTCTATTTACATGAATAGTCCTCCAACTTTGGAGCAGCTAACAAAACGGTCATCGAGCTTCAGTTTTTGGATAGATGTAACCCTTCGGTTTCGCAGATTCAGTAAAAAATTTAATAAGACAGATTAGTTTTTGCTTTTAAAGAACGAGTGATTGATTTATTGGTCACCTCAAACTTGAATGACTGTTTCGATAATTAACCCGAAATTATCTTATGTGTTAGATTAGAACCAGTAGCGGTATCATCTTGTGTAATTAGTGTTGATAAGGCGGATTGGGCTATGCCAGTGTGAAACAGAAACAACAAGTTTACAGTCTAGCATGGAATCCCTGTGGTTTAGCTCTCTCTATAAGCTTTTTTTTTATTGACGTTTAACCGCAAGCATAGAGATATTCTGCTCGCACTAGGCGTTATCTTATCTTCCTAAGGAAAACTGAGGATATCTTACAAAAGCTAACAGCCATGAGAGGAAAAAAGATTTAACATGATGAGCTGGCTACCAACAATGGAGCTTTAATATTCAAAAACATCTAAAAGTTGCTGGAATGGTAAATTATTCTCGTGGAAATCAATGACGAGGGTCGTCGCATGCTACACTGGATCATTGAACCAACACTTTGATCGAATAAGATTCGGTTTTGATTTTGAATTTCATGAAATTTTGTTTTTGATTTCATTGATTCCCTAGAATATGAAAACATGTTTTCTTTAGTTTCAGTCTTTGAATCTTGCTTCACTTTTTATGCGAGGTAAATGATCAATTCAACATTTTTGAAAAAATCTCTCTATTGGTTATAATTGTCGGAATTCAGTTTAATACATATGCGAACCTAGAAGTAGCAAAATTCTTGGACACTTAAATTTTATTTATCTTTTTACATTTAATGTCTCTTATTGATGCATCAACATGTGCTTTGAATAGTAAATCTTCATTCAACTTCAACGAGTCTCTGTGACTTTATGAAAATTATATAGAATTTAGTAATTGGATTAGGGAAAAGATCTCTTGTTACGTTAGGTGACAAAAACATCTAATGTTAGTTTATTCACGTATTTTTGTTCTCATTCACGTCATTTGTGGTTGTTGTTCTATTCTCATTCTTTTACGGGTGGGTCATGAATTATCACTCACGCTTATATTAATATATAATCTTATCAATGCAATGTTTGTGAAATTATGAAAATTAAATAGCATTTAGTAATTGGATTAGATCTTGTAGTATTTTTGGATGTAACTGCGAGATAAGAGGTATTTTGTTGTTTTGAGGGCGATGTTACGTGTTTAAAGAATTGTGTGTTTTTTTTCCGTTGTACTATTTTCATTCTTTTACGGGTGGGTCATGAATTATCACTCACGCTTTCGTTAATATATAATCATATCAATATAATGTTTGTGAAATCATACGTGGGTAAGATTAAAGAGTTCAAGACTATTGAACATACTGTGCAAGAGATCTTTGTCAAAAAAAAAAAAAAATGCACGAAAGAGTTCGAACTTTGACGGAGTAAGCACATCAAAGCATCCATCTATTCTCACGTTTCCACAATCCCAACCCACTCACCAGCTCTTTGCCAAACACCAAAACTTACTTAGCTTTCAAGACCAACTACCTCTGTTTCCCCGCCCCCTCTCTCTCTCTCTCTTGAAATTCTAGCCACCACCCCAACTTGGTCGGCTTCAAGCGAACCAATCCATGATAACTCTCCTCTCTTCTCATCTTTCCTTCATCTCCCTCCCTCCCTCTCTCTCTCTCTCTGTCTCTTCCATGGCGAAAGAAATGGAATGGGACCTATTCACTGACGGCAAAGCAACAACAGAAACGACGACAGATGCTTTGGCGACGGCGCTTATTAAGTGTCCCACCGTCGGCATAGATTCCCGCCAAATGAAGTCGACAACACCGTCGCCAATCCAGAGGCAGGGGAGCACAAAGGAGTACTTCAGCGGTGGCGGTGAACGAGATGATGGCTACTTCGATGCACATCCTTGGTTCGACTCCGATAACGAGGAATTTCGTAGTGTAAACGGAGGTAATTAAGGTTTTTTTACCTGATTATATAATTTACCGGTATTCAAACAGCTCGAGTTATTGATAAGCCATCCACTACATACATACTGTGCTGCTATATTGTTTTCGCATACGCGGGCGTGTAGATTTTGGTTCATCGCGATCATTCACTCCGATCATGGACCGAATTGATTCGGAAGAAGCTGATGATCCGGACACACTATCAACTCCTCAAGTACTTAATCGATCGTCGACGAGTAGCAACACAGGCTACCTTAATGTGCGACCTTCGAGGTCTTCTTCCAGTGCCAAGAAGCAGCTAATTGAGTTCTTTAGCGACAGTTTTAGTCGCGATTTGAGAACGGAGATGGAAGAAGAATCGATCAGCAAACAGCCTTCGGGAGGCTTTCAAAAGTACAGTGGAACCTCTTCTTCAACAAGTACCGACCGAAGCGTGAGCAGTCCACGAGAGTCCATGTCCAAGCCGATTTATAACGATCCAAGAACGACGACGAGGACGACGAACAAGAAATCCGCCGTTAAAACCTCTTGCATTTTGCTGGTCCGGAGCCTCAGCTGTGGTGGTGGTGGTGGTAATGTTGCTGAGGGTGGCAAGAAGAAGAAGATGAAGAAGCGTAGCCGTCGCCATGACTTCAAGCAGTAACAAGACAAGATCGATGCATACAAAAGAATCATAGTCCATTGTAAAAAGGAACAGTTTTTGTTAATTTGCTTGTGATATTGGTTTGTGGGATTTCGTCAATTTGCTTTTCTTTTGAGGGTATGAAGTGTTTGGTTGATAAGTTTGGCTATGTCAATTTTATTTGCTCTAAGATATCGGTCGACTTATGTAGTAATGTTGGGGATAACCAAATTTGACAAAGAGATTGTATGCTAAATAGGGTATCTCTCAAGGATAGCTAACTCCAACTTGAATTTGCATTTTACTCTTTAAGGTGATTGAATTCCTAGCATGATTGATAAGGTAAAGATGGTAAAAATCTATGCTTCCTTCGAATCAAGCATTTGTGAAATGTGCTATTTAGGGTCAATTATCACATACCATAATACTTGTAAATGTTGGTTATATTAGTGAAATTATTGATGTGATATTTCCATTTAAAGTTGATAAAACACAAAGTTTACCCTTCAATATAATCTATCTATCTATCTATACATAATATTATGACACTTCAAAAATAGTTTGTTGCCACATAAGCATTTGGAAAATTTACAAGGTGCCATTGTGGATACTTTTTTTACAAACAAAAAATTTAGTTAATGATCAATTAATGTAGCTATACCTATCTTTTTTTAATATTTTGTTTTTATTTTAATGATCATTTATGTAGCTATCTCTATCTTCTTTTAATGTTTTTTTTATTCAATAATTGTTTTTTCAATATATAGGTGTAAGAACAATATACTTATGTTTATTGGGAGAGTGACATATATTTTAATCCTTTAAAAAAAATATTTGATTAAATCTGATCAATTAATTTTTAGTTTTATTTTTATTAGAACTTAAAATAGGTTATCTTTCGATAAAAAATAAATTAAACACACAAATAAGTAATAATATTTTTTGAAAACAAAATATAATGAAGGAAGTTTAGTAAACACCAAAGATAAATAAATTTTATCCCAAAACAAACACCAAAGATTTTAGTAAATGCATATTTGATAAGTTAGAAAATTATACAACAATAGACCATGTTCATTTTAGAACCCTCTGCAGTGTGTGAGTATCTTGGATTGAGATTCTAAACCAACATCTAAACAACGATCATGAGTTGTGGGTGAGCCTAAATTAAACTTTAGGAATTAATAATTGGTACATATTGTATAAGATATTAAATTGAGTGTCTTGATCGATAAATATGATCTTACACTAAGACAATAAACTTTGAATTGGGATGACCAAATTTATCTAATATTGAAGTAACTTTATAAAAAAAATCTAACTAAGTTGTCGTCATCTGAGCAACATCATTGGTTGAGAGTTCGTCCAAACTCGAGATTCATTGAATGACATATATTGTATAAGATAAAAAAAATTGAGCATCATGGTTGACAATTCTTAACATAAAATTCTATATGGAACGTGATATATCTTTGTGACATGATTTATCATCAGAGAATCGAAGGATCATAAGTGAATGTGCTAAGTATTGAGAATCTATCTATACATAATATTATGACACTTCAAAAATAGTTTGTTGCCACATAAGCATTTGGAAAATTTACAAGGTGCCATGGTTGATATTTTTTTTACAAACAAAAAAGTTAGTTAATGATCAATTAATGTAGCTATACCTATTTTTTTTAATATTTTGTTTTTATTTTAATGATCATTTATGTAGCTATCTCTATCTTCTTTTAATGTTTTTTTTATTCAATAATTTTTTTTTTCAATATATAGGTGTAGGAACAATATACTTATGTTTATTGGGAGAGTGACATATATTTTAATCCTTTAAAAAAATATTTGATTAAATCTGATCAATTAATTTTTAGTTTTATTTTTATTAGAACTTAAAATAGGTTATCTTTCGATAAAAAATAAATTAAACACACAAATAAGTAATAATATTTTTTGAAAACAAAATAATAATTGGTACATATTGTATAAGATATTAAATTGAGTGTCTTGATCGATAAATATGATCTTACACTAAGACAGTAAACTTTCAATTGGGATGACCAAATTTATCTAATATTGAAGTAACTTTATAAAAAAAAATCTAACTAAGTTGTCGTCATCTGAGCAACATCATTGGTTGAGAGTTCATCCAAACTCGAGATTCATTGAATGACATATATTGTATAAGATAAAAAAAAATTGAGCATCATGGTTGACAATTCTTAACATAAAATTCTATATGGAACGTGATATATCTTTGTGACATGATTTATGATCAGAGAATCGAAGCATCATAAATGAATGTGCTAAGTATTGAGAATTTTTAATTTATAGACGCACCACATACTCACGTATAAATACGAATGTAAAAAATTTAGAAGATCCAAAATAGTTTAAACATATAAATAAATTGATTAATATAAATGATAAAATAAAATTCACCGGTCAATAGGTCGGCTAAAAAGCTAGTATAATAAAGAGTTTTTGGGTCGCATGGATTAGTAAACTCAATTACGATGACATTCTATTTGGGATGTGCCTATTACTACTACAGGTTCTTGAATATGGAGGAGTTTAACGAAGCTTCGAGGATGGTTCAGAATTATATGGAGTGTTGCAACAATGCGGTGGTAACATGGGAAGGAAGATAAGAAATTATCAAT